AAGCTAAATAGTATAAAATAGATATAAAATATAGCAGGATGACGATTAAAGGACTTTTAAAGCAATAGTCATATAGCGGTGAAAAAAAAGTGTCCCAGAACTCCTAATTTAACCCTACTACTACGATTGAAACGAACCTAATAAGGGCAGGTAGCTTCGGTTACTAAATCTGGCAATAATTACATATTTGGGATATGGAAAGTTGTTCAGTAGACAGTTGGTATGAGGGTAAAGTAGCCTTTAGGCCATTGTAATAAAAGGGTTAGGCCCATTATATCTGCAATACGTAGTGAATCGGGTTAGTAATAGGAGGATTGTAAGTCAGAGGGTTTAAATAGGCAATTCCCGTAGTTGGGTTGTAGGTATAGCAGCTAGTGTAGAACCTTTGGGTGGACTACTTAAATTAGGCACTAAAAGTATATGTATGGCTAGTTGTATCCTTGCTCATATAACAAATATTACATTGATTCATAATAAAAAATTGGCTATAGTATCCGGTCTTTAAACATAAAAAAAAAAATATATATATATATATCAAGTAAGAAGGCTTATAATAGAACTTCCTATTATATTAGAAAGTACAACTAGCCATATATGCAATTTTTGGTTGCCTATTTAAGTAGTTTGCATATAAATAACTATATACTATAGATTCTACACTATTTTCTATATCTATAATCCAACTAGAGATTTATCTATTTAAACTCTCTATAATACAACCTTCTTATATTACTAAAATATCTTCGTTACATTTATCAATTAAGAAGTCTTGGATTCTTACCATAGCTTTAAAACTAATTTATCTTTAAGACATTATTGTTAAAGCTTTCTATACTTACAATTTGACTAATCTAAACTTCGGTAACTTATGCCAAGTTTGAGGACAAGTATTTGCAAGCCAAAGCTGCTACTATTATCTACTTCTGCTTTTGTAAAGTTTACCCAAACTCCAGCATCTACTATATGAACTGTCTATTGATTTTTTGGTTCACAAACTCCTAATTCAGATAGTCAAATAGGCAGACTCTTTCTCTAGTATACACCAGTAACCTGATTGGTATAGTGTCTTGCCAAACATCTCGGTCTCATCTAGTTTTTGATTTTTTAATTAATAATCTTTTATGTAGCATTATTAAAAGTCTGTTCTATTTTTCTATTTAGAATTTGCTAAGCAAACTTCTGTATACTTCAGCTTTTAGATTTACTCAGCTGCTTTACTTAGGTTTTGTATAATTCATACATTATACTAAATGTTCCACAGCCTCTTAGTACAAGCTAGTATAATCAAAGTTACAGATCTGATGATCTATCAAATTATACACAGTCTGCTATAACACATTTTGTAAAATTCGAACTTCATTGCCAGTAAGATTTGAACTTTTGTTTTGCCATTTGGAGTGTGACAACTTATTAACTTCACTAAATTGTTATATCTTAGTCTTTGTTTATTTAGAATTAAATTATTCAAAAAATTTATATAAATTTTTGTTTATAATTATAACTAATTCAACTAAAACAAAGACTTACTTATGCTTAAGCCAGACATAATTTGCTTTAATAACAAATAGTTTTCTTTTAGATCTTTAATTTACTAAAGACTTTTTTTACTCTGTTTATCAGCTAGCAGCTATATACTCATCAAAAAGCAAATTAAATAAAAATATAACTCAGAATTAAAAGAAAATATAGAAATATAGAAGATACAATAAAATAAATATATAATAAGAAAAGAAGAGAATAAGGCAAATATTAAAAAAAGTATTAACCAAAATAATTTTACTAAACTTAATACTTTAATTATAAGTCTGTATTAGGCTTGTAAAAATTATATATTACTAAATAAACTAGTTTTTACTTTAAGTTTATCTAATTAGTATATCAAAATAAAAATTACTTGAAACAAACTTTATCAACTAGTATAATATAAAAAGGTCAAAGCAAAGTCTTAAAACATCATTTATATAAATATTTTTGTATTTAAAATATATATTTACATGTATTTATTGCTATAGCTATTGTACTATAGATATTAAATATCTTGAGTAAGAAATTTAATCTAAAAAAAATTGTTTGTTTTGTTTTTTAATACTTCTTTTTGATATATTTTGTCTATATGCTTAGACTTTATTAACAATAAGCTGCTTTTATTATAGGAACTAAGTTTAATGTCTACTTTATTACTTTTCTGTAGTTTGATTTTATTGTTGTTAACCAAGAGATCGTCAGAAAGAGTTTGTAAAATATGAAGTTTAAATTATTCTTTCTTTGTAAAAGAGTTATATATTCTTTTCTTTATAAGGAAATTAAATTAAATTTCAATAAAGACAAAGATATGGTCTCACTATTAATATTTAAAAAAATAAAATATAAAATAAAATAAATATATTAAAAAATATACTATAATAATATAAAATTTTGTTAATCTGCTATTTTTAAAGAAAATACTATAAAAAATATTAGTTAACTATAAATATATTAAATATTGCAGATTAAAATAAAATCAGATTAAAATGAAATTAAAGACCTTTTTTGCTTACTCTTAAAGCTTAAAAAACCTATATATACTTTTTATTAATAACCTTAACCCTAAACTTGACCTCTAATACTAAAAAAAACCAAAAATATTATCTAAAAAATTTTAAATTTTCTTAAAAATTAAAAAAAATTGTTTTTAGCTAATTTCATTTTAATCTGTTAGATTCAAATAATTTATATAACAATATGCTTTCTACAGTATTTTTTAAAATTATATTTATTTTTTTAATAGCAAAAACAAATAGCTATTCTGTATATTATCATTTTATTTCTAGTAAAAAAATAAAACATATTAATTTTTAAAAATAGTTAGCAAATTTAATTTTTAACTACTATTTAAAAAAGGTTGTTATAGAAACGGTAGAGCCAAAAAAAAAAAAAAATCAAAATACTATAAAGCATAATCTTATTAGTATAAAAAATAATTTTGTAATTTTGCAATCTAAAGAAAAATATATTTAATATTATTGTATAAGCTGTTATAATATGCTACTACTAGTTGCATCTGTACAAGTTGTTAGTCTATTCATATTCGTAATATATATTATAGCATATACAAGATAATTTTTTTTACATATTCTTTTATATTTATTCTATTAATTTTCAATTGCGTAACTATAGTCTTTTCTCAGGGAGTCACAGGATAAGTTTTATTTGTGTACTACATGTAGACCTATACTTGTTAAATAATTCCCTGCTTTTATAATTTATATCATTTTATTAGTTATATAATTAATATAAATAAAAATTATATTAAAATATAAAGTGGTTTAATATAGTTTTTTTAATAAAAATCTTTTAAATTTGTTGGCTTTTGGATGTGTTATAGATTTTATAAAGGTGTACTACCGGTAGTACAAAGTTAATTAACGATATTACCGGAACATGCAAAAAGGTCCTAAAAAATCAAGAACGACGGTTTTGATACCTGTATGATGTCACAATAATTAGATCTCAGATCAATACTTTATTGATGACTTACAATAACTTAACAATAACCAATTCAGGAAAGAAAGTACATCCAATAGTCGACGAGAAATTAAACTACTGCATTAAGTATGAAATGTCATTCAGAGAAGCACTCGACATTAACATAATTTCAATGATAAGAATAATTGCCACAGTACGTACGTATGCATTGTGTGGTAAAGTCTCTTCATAAAAGTATACGGAATTAATAATTATCGTTTTATAGATGAAAATGAATGAGCAGATAAGGCAATCTTACCCCATCCGTTTACACAAGAGATATTTACACAGATTAAGGCCAATCAATTCCTGTTCAAGAACAAATTCTTTCGAAAACATAACGGGCGTTTTATAACAATATTCTGAAACTATGTACGTACATTTTTCCTAAAAATTTCAAATATATATAAATATATATAATCATATCGATATGTACGTACATACGCACATATGTCCGTATCGATGCTTGACAATAATAACTATATATAAAAGAATTAAAAATATACTCCCGTGGTATTGTGTTCAGTCTAACCTATTTATAAAATTTAGAAATTCTAGATCACGAGTGTAGATGAAAATGATGGAAAGTGGTGCAATTTAGGTGGTTCCCAGGAACTCAAAACTTGAAATTGTATTACCTTAACCGAGATGTTTATTTATTTTACATATGTATGTGCGTGCATATTTATTGGTCAGTTGCATATATCTGCGATTTAAAATCCTCGATTAGGATGCTCATACTCAGTTACAAATACATTACTGCGATGCAATAAGAACTGCGCTTAGATACCCTTTTTTTGCTGTACCATGATTATTAGAATAAGTGCTTTTTTTTTTTCTGACAAAGCAAATGCGTTCTAGAATTTTATAAGGTCTTGCTTTTTGTGAAGATTCCCTATTTTCGATACATATCCGAATGTCATCATGATCCGTAGTTAGTGCATCAACTCCGTAATTTTTATTGCGTAACTGACCCTGATAAATGACGATTGTCCGTTTATTATTTAATTACTGGTCGTAGTACGTTACACGTATATCACGCAACATATTTTTTTTGTGGCTAAAATCCAAATTTGAGATAAAAGGCACTTTCCCATCCGTTCTCTTTGCATTCTTTTCTTTAGGCGACGAAACTTTACAAGAAACTTGTAAAATTATCGTAAACCTTATTCAATAATAAAGGTGTTTATCTACCAATTTCAAACTTGTTTTTACGCGCTTTTTACTTTCACAGTAAAGGAAAAAAAAAGAAAAAAAAAGAAGGTCGTGGGAACTTATTTACATTATACAATTTCGTGAACGAAGGTTTATTTATTTTTTTTTTTTGACTCGCTAAGAATGTCTCCAAGACTTGTGTTTAATAAAGACTTTTGTATTTAAATATTTTAGACTAATATATTAAAGTGTAATAATAATAATATTTCGCACGACTGTTATTTAACACGGACATTAAGAGCACGTAGAATTTTCGCTTCGATGCTTACTCTCACGGAAACTTCAACTCTCAATACAAACTATGTTAGCCATCGTAAAAGCACTACCACTGCTTCAATTGATGAATCATATATATCCCCTATGGTACCAATTAACAACTATACCCTTCAAACTTCTGCTCCTCGTGTATCCGACAACTCATCAAGGTATTTATTCTTACTTTATAGACTCTCAATCGATTGATTAATCTTGGGGATTTACTATGGGATAATCAGACTGAATAGATATATTCACTTACAGCTTACGAATTGACAATGCTGTTTAATGTCTGATAATCCAAGTATGAGTTTTCATTGTATCCTTTATTAAATATCCATTATTAAAATATGCGTCATCTTTCTTTTTTTTAAAAAAAAATCAAGGTCAAATTTATCAAACGCCATCAATAATAATAATAATAATAGCAATAATCATCGTAGACGACGATCTACTGCATCTCAACAAGAATCATCTAAAAAATCATTGGATCAACTGCAACCTTCACTGAATAATGCATCAACAAATCCTATTCCTTCAAAAATATCATCTGGGTGTCTCCGTAAGCTACATGCTGATGATGACGGGAAACATTCTTCTGAGATGGTATCATCACCTCTACACGATAATCACGATATGCCTTCAATTTCTCAGCATATTCCCTCAAAAAGATTATTTGATGATTCATCAAAAGTTCTTTGTGTATCCGAAAGAGTTTCTTCGCTTGAGACTTCCACTGAATCCGATTTAAAAATGAATGATTCAACTCTATCAATCACTGATAATTTTAGTTCTATAACTCCAAAAATGTCTACTAAGGACATTTACAATACCCCGGAGAGTAGTGATGGGGATACATCCGCTAACGTTTCGGATTGGGATGATAATAGTAATGAGGATTCTACTGAAGACTTTGACGATGATGATGATGATGAGATTGATAGATTTTTTAATAACCCATCATCGCCAGCATCGGTTCAATTGAAACCATTTGATAATCAAGTGGGTGGTCACACCTCTTTTTTTCGATTTTCTCAAAAAGCAGTTTGCAAACCTTCAGTACCAAGAGAACAATATTTTTATGAACTCCTTGAAAAATCCCATCCTGAACTTTTACCATTCATTCCCCAATATTTGGGTACTGTTAATGTGATTAATCGTGCTCATGATGGTGACGTAAAATCAATGCCAGAAGTTGTTTTTGAACAAAATAAACATCTTTTACCTGAATGGATGCTCAATAGAGTTAATTCATTTGATAATCGTTATAGTGATGACAACAAACGATTATTTGATAAAGAGAATAATAAAATACCTTCGGTATCTAGTGCTCCAAGTTTATGTTCTTCAAAAGTGAATCAAGACCTAAAAAATGAAGTTTTGCAAGAGGTATTCTCACCTCGTGTTGTACGTGCTAGGATGCGCCAGATTCAAGCATTACAGAAAGAACCTGTAAGAAGAAGGCATTCGATGGCTAATGTTACTACCCTTCGAAGAAAGTCTGAATGTAAGACACCTGAAATGTCTGAAAATATGATAACTTTTGATTCTCCTTGCGAGAAGAGACAGAAGAAATTGACAGTTGCTTCCAGAAGAATCGGTTCACCTGACCTATCATCGTCTAAATCTGGTAATGATCATGGTGATACTACTTCGACATGCTTAACTGATTGTCGCCGAATCCGTAGTCCTAGTAATGATCATTTTTCTAGTATGACGACATCTATGAAAAAAGAAAAATCAAATTCTTATCCAAATTCAACCGAATCTACTTCACATACCGGGTTTTCTCACGAGAAAGCAATTTCTGATATGCATTCAGCTTTTAGCACGAGAGAATATTCAGCATCATCACAACCTGTTTTGCGTTTACAGTATCCTACAAAGACAAATTCTGATGAGGAACTAGTCACTCCTCCACAATCGCCTACTTCGATTAATAACCCTTGGTCTTTACGTTGTTATTCGTTACAAAAATCAGACGAAGCGCTTGATAATGTGCAACAATTTATTATTCTAGAAGATCTAACTGGTGGATTGAAATATCCTTGTGTTTTAGATCTAAAGATGGGTACAAGGCAATATGGGATCGATGCGAAACCAAAGAAACGTGAAAATCAAATGAAGAAGTGTGCACAAACCACAAGTAAAACTCTAGGGGTTAGGATTTGTGGCATGCAGGCGAGTATTTATTATTATTTATTATTATTATTCAATTGGATATATGTTTTAATATATATATATATATATATTATTGTTTATAGGTTTACAAATCAACCACAAACCAATTTCATATTCAGAATAAATATTATGGCCGTTCTTTAAATAATGAAACATTCTTTAGTTCATTAGTTGACTTTATTCATAACGGCAAGCATGTTTTAGTACACCATATTCCTGTTATTCTTCGTAAACTTCGCCGTCTTGCAAAAATAATTCGTAAACTTTCGAACTACCGATTCTATGGGAGTAGTTTATTGCTTATTTATGATGGTGATGAGAACAATCCACGAGACATAGATGTTAAGATAATTGATTTCGCACATTGTACAACGGGCAAAGATTATTTACCCGAAGAGTTTTTGAATCCACCACATGAAGGTTGCGACAAGGGATATTTATTAGGACTTAAAAATTTGTGTCAATCTTTTGAAAGAATCTATAAAGAGACTCACGGTATTAAACCTGAAGATGTTGGTGAGGAGGAGGAAGGAGTTTTTTCAGAAATAGGCGAAGAGCATGACGATAATTTCTCTGGATAATTATTGATTAGGAAGTTGTATTTTGAAATTTCAATATCGAGTTTGACTCCGGTTTTTAAATATAATACAACATATTACTCCTCCACACTCGCTTTTGGAGATGTCATTGTCATTGGCTGTTACTTTTGAATTGTTGGTGCTGGACACTATATTATTATTATACTCATATTATTATATTTGAAGTGCTTAATTTACACTTGACATCAATGCGTTTCATTGTCAATTCTCTTACGCAATTCAAAATTCTATTCGTGCTCTACCATTTTCAATATCTATAATTCTTAATACTCTAATCTATACGAAGTTTTCTCGTAAGACACTATATATACACACACTTCTGCATAATTTCTTGTACAAATCTTTTTTTCCTTTTTTTTCTTTTTTTTTTTTTACTTGCTATATTCATTTTATTTGTTTTGTATATATATCCTTTGTAAATGATAGATATACACATTTCGCAATAAAAATTATTTCTTTTCTATAAACATACTCTACATAGATAAAAACTTTAGATAGCGATTAGTACAATTTTTACATAAGATTTAAACACTATATAATTTTCATATTAAGCGGCTTTTTTTTCTCTTTTTGGTCGTTATATACCCTTTTTAATCATCGCTATGTACTATATTGATTCGATAAAAACAATCGATACATGATAAATATACATGATCTGGTTAAATTAAACATTCATAAATGTAATATATATATTTGATTAAATACATGTATGTTGAGCTGCCGTTCCATTTAAGTGATTAACATTCGAGTTGATTCATTTTTTAAGATTAAGCATGAGAGAAATTTGGCTTAATTCTATTGAAAAAACAATGTTACACATTTTTTATATTGTTTACTATAGAAAGATGAACCTGTAAATAGCAAAAAAATCTTTTTCATAGGTAAGACTGAAATTTTGCGAGATATAAGCGTATGTTTCCACCAACTTTAATTAGAGACACTAGTTATATTTAATATGAAGTCACTATATTAAGTTTTTATCGTTTAAACGAAATAACTTTTGAACTTCACGTGAGCAAGGTATTAATTATTGTGAAAGATGACCAAAGATTATCAGATACTTATATCTGATATAGAATTGAGTGCAACGATAAATTAGGTTTTTAATTTTAGCCAATCAGGATTACTGATAATCAGCCAATAAAAAACAAATTTCCTTCATGCTCGTCTAAAATACAATATATATATTTTTATTATATCTACTTATTATTGTAATATTACAATAATAAATACGTTATTTTTATTGCATTTTAGAATTGTCGAACATTTAAATCTATTACATAATAGCTTAGGGGGCAGGTGTAATTGTGCAAGTCAGGGTCCATAACTGTGCTTTAAGTCTTGTGATCGATTGCATGGATTTTGAGATTAGCGAATAATTAATAAATAAATAGCTGCTTGCCACAAATAACAATACGTCATATATCGCATTATCTGTTAATTTATTTATGAAACAAACGAATACAGATAGTATCGTCTCCTGACATTTGAAAAAGGTGGATTTTTATAACCAATTATCACAATATTCCTTTAATTTTACGTAAAAAATTTAATTAAAGAAAAGAATAATAAAACAAATCTTATCTCTTTTATAACTCCTCCTGGATTCATGTAATAATTTAAGCGTAACATTTGTTTTTTCTCTCTATCCAATCCATCTTTTCCTAATCCATAAGAATGAATGTTTATTCTTATTATAGCGCTTTGCAAAAAGGTGTAACCCTATGATTTTCGTGATAATGATAGCGGGATTCTAAATTGTTTATCGATCATCATATTTTTCAATCAGCGACTTCTATACATCGTTTCGTGTAACCTTGTGTACATCAATTTGAATTAACCAATAAAATTGCAAATCTGTATAATTATTAAAATAAAAAAATTTCATTAAGTGGTTGTCAGATATCTGTTTAAAGTTTTCCGCGCTCTATGTTTGATAGACGTTTTGAATCTACTACAATTTCAAACGAAGATAACTAGACAACAATCCAATGAAATTTTAAATTTTACGAATTTGTATAATTAAAATAAAAAAGTATTCATCAATTTTCATGGGTGGTTGTTGAGATATTGTTACACCCGGAATTACCTCTTATAAGTCCGGTATAACGTTTTACTATAGCGACGGATAAGTTAAGTAATTCCAACAAGAATGCCGATTTAAGCTAAGTAAAATATGGGGTTTAGTTGCGGTTACGCTTTTAAGAGGATTTGAGTGATTTGCTATTACGAAAGAGGCAAACGGCTAAATGTATGTGGAGATACAAATAGTCGTGTAAACAAGTTTGTAATTTATACTCAGAGTTATTCGTGTATGAAGACAATTACTCTTTTAGGGTTTTATTCAATAAAGTATTCGAGTTATTCGTGTATGAAGACACAATTACTCTTTTAGAGTTTTATTCAATAAAGTATTCGAGTTATTTGTGTATGAAGACACAATTACTCTTTTAGAGTTTTATTCAATAAAGTATTCGAGTTATATGCATTGCAGCGATTTAATTACGTGTATAATGACCAAAAAAAAAAAATTTTTCACTATTAGACGATATATATCACTATATATTTTATTATGTATAGTGATTAAAACAAATAAATATTTTTTGTTATTATTTTTATTTTTTATTTTTATTTTTTTATTAACTAGCCTCTTTGGTGTAGAGATTTTTATTCAAGTATACTGGGTGAGGAGCTTATAGCGGAACCCCAATTACATTAGAGAATATAACTAGTCATATATGCAACTTTTGATTGTCTATTTAAGTAGTCTGCATATTAGTATTACATCATAGGGACTACACTAATTACTATACCTATAATCAACTAGGGAATTATCTATTTAAACCCTCTGTAACATACACATCCCTCTTGTATCACCAGAACATCTCCATTACATTTGTTAGTTGAGAAGTTCTGAATACTTACCATAGTCTTAGGATTAATTTATTCTTGAAACATTATTACTAAAACTTTTTGTACCTACAATTCTGCTAATCTAGTTTTCAACAATTTACATTAAGTCTGAGGACAAGTATTTGCAAGCCAAAGCTACTATCATTATCTACTACTGCCTTTGCAGAGTTCAGTATTAACTATACAGACTATTATCAGAATCTAAGTTTTATTAGTAATTCAATCTTCCAATTCAGATAGCTCGAAGAGATTGTGCCTGTCCTGGTTCCCATGGTTAGGTCCTTTTCTTTTAGTTACTTATCTAGTAGCTTGGTTAGTATAATGTTTTGCCAAATACTTGGTTTTCATCCAGATTACTGAAATCAATATTCAGATTCCTTAGATAATCTTTTACATAGTATTGTCAAAGATCTGTGTTATCTCTCTCTTTGGGGCTTGCCAAGCGAGCTTCTGTGTGCCCCAATACCTAGATTGACCTGGCTGCTTCACTTAGGTTTCATATAACTTATGCATCACACTAATGTTTCACAGTCTTTAGTATGAGTTGGTATGACCAAGTTTACAGATTTGATGATCTATTAGATTACATACAATCTGCTATAACACATTCTATAAAATTCGAATTTCATTGCCAGTAGGATTCGAATTTTATCACCAGTAGGATTCGAATTCTTGTCCTGCCGCTTGGAGTGTAACAACTTACCAACTTCACTAAGTCACCACACCCTATCATTATTATTTTTATACATCAGGAAATTTTTTAAGCTGATAGGTTACGATTACCAACAATTAATCGATTATTATCAATTAAATTTAATTGATAAGAACCAACGGTAGTGATTGTAATTGCTAGATATCCTTATCAATTTTAATCGATAATGGTACTAATCGTTAATTTACTATAAATGATTATTATTAATTAATTTTTTATTGATAATTATTGATAAAAAATTAATCAATAATAATCGTTTATAGTAAATTAACGATTAGTAACATTATTGATTAAAATTGATAAGGATATTTAGCAATTACAATCATCACTATCGGTTCTTATCAATTAAATTTAATTGATAATAATCGATTAATTGTTGGTAATCGTAACCTATCAGCTTAAAAAATT